TATATATATATATATCATTTTTTATGAAGCAATTATAAAAAAAAATTGTATATATACATATATATACAAATATTTATGTTTCATTTATTTTGTTTTATATAATAAATTTCATCATATAATATATTCCATCCATTAATTATTAGATATTTATATTATATTAGATATTATATTATATTAGATATTTATATTATATTTATATTAGATATTATCCACCAATTATTAGATATTTACTATTGTAAAAATATTGAAATTGTAAGATCTAATTATATATTTCAAATTCATTATTACATAAATTCATTAAAAAAAAATTTTAATAGTTTCTAAAAAGTGTAGGTTTTAACAATGCAGGATAATAATATTACATAAAAAACAACTTAAAATGATAATAAACAAGTAAATTATCATTGACCTAGCATTTATAATACGACATAATAATTAAAAAAGGAAGGACATCAATGATTTTTAGATAAATAGACATTTACTTATTTATAAAAAGATGTGAATTCATAAAATAAACAAATCATATTCAATGAATATTTATTATTAGTAAGTATTGTTAAATATTATCTTATGATCATTTTTAATAGTAATCTTCAAAATATTTGATCAAAATTTTCTATTTTTATAAAATATTTTTATAAATTTTTAAATATATAAATAGATAAATATAAGTACGATCAATAAATATGAAAAATATAAAATTAAAAATAGATGAAGAAAATTGTTTTACTTGATTTGAATTTATATGAAGAAAATATCTTAATATGTTATATTAAATTATTATATTATATTATAATTTATAATCTATAAGAAATAGATTATATTCAAATTGTACAAAAATATTAAAAAGTTAGAAAGCAAAAATTTCAATAGAAACAAATAAAAAATTATAAGGATAATATCATAAAAAAATATGCGCAGAAAATACGTTGAATGATTATAAAATACGTAAGAAATTCGCAAAAGTGATTGGAAGAAAGGGAGGGATAAAACACCGAGTTGAAGGGCACGCAGTAATAGAGGAGAGGAGTGAAGAGAACAAGAACCGATGGAGAGGGAAGAACCGACTCATAAACATTTCATGCTCAGTGTATTTCTTCAGTTCAAAGCAAACTATCGTAGCAATTCGAACATAACATAATCTTGTTTTTAATTTTAATTGTCTCTATTTCTTTTGTTTTTTCTTTTATTATGAACAATATGTAATAATATTAAATTTTTTGGTCATCAATAAATTATTTCCAATTAGTGAAAGAAAGAAGATCGAAAATAACAATAAACAGGAGATCTTACTGGTAAAACGAGTTTTAGTTGCGTTTTAGAAAATAAGCACAACTTCATTCGGTGAGTTTTTAAAAATAAGAAGAAATAAATAAATAAGAATTAAAAAAAAATACATCAAAAATAAATTAAAGAAGAAAAAAAATATTTGCATATATATGAGGAAATTTTTATAAATAGAATAGATAAAATATATCTTTAGAAAACTTTAGAAAAAACTTCAGACAGAAACGATGGATTTAGTCTACGTTCCTGAAGTCTTGACTTATGGTTTCTTAAGGATTCCTCAATACCGAGATTATGAGCAACCGTGGAATAAAGATTATTTTAATAGTGGTATGTTTCAATTGTATCTAAACAAATTATCTTTTAAATATTTATTAAAATGATAAAAAAAAATAAAGATAGTATTAAATAATTATCGAATATTCTGCGATGATCAATTCATTATCATCATTCTTTCTAAATATCTTTCTGAATATCTAGACGGATAAATAAATTTTTATATAATTGATATTATGGAAGTTAATATTTTTTTCAATTTTTTGATCGATTTTTTTTTTAATAGAAATAATTTTTTTTATTATAATATACCAATTTTTTTTATAAATATATATATTTACATATAAATATATATAATATTTACATAGGATAGAACTTAGTATTTTTCATATTTTTCATTATTTAGATGATTCAAACAAAAAAATAATATTCTTTGCAATTATCTCATAAATAAATTTTCTTCTTTATGTTCTTTTCATATATTGTCATAAATTCATTAAAAATTTCAAGATTAATTTTTATTATTTTCTACATTTTTAAAAACATTTGAAAATTTGACAAGATAAAAAAAAAATAAAATTCATTTTTATTAAAAAAATTTTAATTCAAAAATTTTGATCACTGATATATAATAAATATCTTTTTTTTTTTTTTCAGAAGAAAAGAATGATAGAATTGTTAAAGAAATCAATTAATTAAATACTTGATTCTACATTTGGTAAAAATTAAGTAATGAATAATCGAATGCATAAAATTATCATGATTTATTTATGAATTGATTTATTTATGAATTCATATTAGTTTAATTGAAATAATAAAAATTTTAAAACTTGATTAATATGATTTTTATATTTTTAATCGATGTCAAAAGAATATCTCCCAGTTATGTATTTATGCAACATAGTTATCCTTTTTTTTTTTACGATTGTGTAGAATTAATTGTTAAGAAATAATTCTTTGCTTTATTTATTATATATTAGACTTTGAAATGAATTATAATTACGAATTTAAAAATCTCAATGTATATATAAATTAAAATAACAATAGAATTATTAATATGAAAAGCTTTGTATTTTATTTTAATTATATAAATGAGACCATGAAAATATAATTAGCTAAAATGTATTATACTATATATATATTTGAAAGAGAACATGAAAACAAGAGAATATGAAAACAAATTGAATATGAAAAACATACATATTTATGATATTTATGATTAGATGATATATGTAACGTAATATATGTACGATTTCATTATAATACATATAATAATTTTATGTTATTATTTAAAATATATTAATATATACATCTATATATATAGATATATATATTATAAAAATAACAGATAAAATGATACGAAGAATACTTTTCATATCAACGTCATTATATATATTAGTAAAAACAGAATTAAAAATATATAATAATAGGTGAATGAATAGTAATCATCTTTTTCATTCAATTTTCAATTTTATACATATATATAGAAATATTTCATGATTTATATGAAACTTAATAATATAAAAACATTTTATTTTTTTAATTTAAAATCGAAATTTTAATTATATAAGTCATATATTTCGATATAAAAATGCATTCATGAAAATAAATAATGTGATATGGGAATAAATAATGATAGTCAATATTGATACTTGAATATAAGTTTATATAAAATTTCCAATGCAAATTTTTTTATATTTTATGTATATATTTATGTATATATTTAAAGTTGAATCAAGTTATTAAATAATATAATTGAAATAATAAAAAAAATTATATTGATACTATCTATTTTTAATTTTATCTAATAAAAATTTGCTATATTTGTTCAAAATTATGATTTTGATTTTAAAATTTTTATCTATTAATTTTTTTATTTGAAACATCAATCATCTTTCACTCTACTTCCTTTTATTCTTCTCTATTTTTTCTTTACTATCACAATTTATATAACAAAATATAATTTTTATTCTAAGATATATATACAAAATTATCAAATTTATTTATAAAAAAAATTTATTAAAGCTAAATTTCAGAAGAAATAAGTGTGATGCATTACATTTTTTAATTATAAAATATTTTTCAATTAGAAAACAATGTTTTCAGCAAATTTGACTACAATGCTACAATGTTTGAAATTTTGAATATTGGTTAACTAATAGAAAAAAAGATACAAATTAATGAATTTAAAATAGAATCTAAAAATTGAAAAAGAAAATTTTTGTTTCAATTACAAAAAAAAATTAAATACTAAAAATCTATATCATTTTTATTAAAAACAATAATATTTAAAAAATAAAATAATATAAATATCATATAATATTATTATTATAGACAAATAAAATCATTTTCCAGGAAAATCAACACAAATTTATTCTCAACGTTTATTGCAACATCACGAGCAGAAGACATTTTCAAAAGAAAATTGTTATTTATGTCGAGAAAATAAAAGAAGAATCCTAGCTACTTATATAAAGGGAAAATTGCGAAGAAATTCTTGTCAAGAAATTCATGAAGAAGAAGAAGAACATGATAACACAAGTATAAAAGAAACGACTTTGAACATCGATAATAAAATGAAAAAAACTTCAAAAAACAATGAATGTTAAGAAGTTAATAATGAAGAAAAAAATTATAGATAATAATAGAGAAATATTTTTAATCATTTTATAATTTGAATATATTTAATTGTATGAAAGTAGAGCAAATATATAGATGCTAAAATAGAAAAAATTCATAAAAATATATATTCGATTTGTTTTTAAGTTTTCTATTGCAATAATTTTTTCCGCGTATAAAATACATACATTATTTGGATATGAATTCATTATTTTTCAAAATTTGAAAAAAAAAACAAACAAATTTAAAAACAAGAAAAACTCATAAGTTACATATTAAATATAAAAATATATAGTAACATTACATATATCTACTTAAAGATTTCACAAGTAGTAATGTCCACTTTATCATAGTTCATAGTCAAATGACACACTTATTTAAACAGATAATTTCTGCAAATTCAATTGAATGAAAGAGAAGAAATGAATATGAATCAAATAAAAGATTAATGTTCGTAATTATAAATTTTGTTCAGTAATTTATAATCATTCGGCATATTATTATTTGAAATTTACTCGGAAAAATTAATGTGTGTGTGTGTGTGTGTGTGCGCGCCCGCACGCGCGCGCGTGTGTGTAATGATGAATTAAAATGGATATTAATATATTTACAATTAATATAAAATTAAATTATAAATTAATATGCATTTTTTTATTCCATAAAAATTAGTTATGATGCTTAAGAAATATTTTTATATTAAATTAAACTAATTAAATATTCAATGAAAAATTGAATAATTCGTAAGACTGAATGTATATATAAAATTATATAAGAAAAATATTTTCAAAAATAAAACGAATTTAATTTAAAATTTTACAAAATTAAAATTACAAAAAAAAAAAATAACATATATGATAGCTGCTTACATATATAATAACATATAGTGAATCTTTTTTGTTTATAAACAGAGAAATATTTTTTAAGAAAAAAATATTATGAAAAAAATTTTCTCACAAAAGTTGTTTGGTATAAAAAATATATGTTATAGTTTTATTAATAATAATAGTTTTTCTATAAACATATAGATTGTATAAAAGTTAATTTCAATTTTTTAAACGAAATCATATAATTTTTTAATACTAACTAATTGATGTAACTTATTATTTTTTATAAAAAAAAATATTAAAATATATTTATATTAAAAATTAGTTTAGTTTATTGTAACTTATAATATGAAAAATAAGAAATATACAAAGTGATACTATTCATCTTTTTATTTATGACTATTCTTTTTATTTTTCATACAATAAGTTTTATAGAAAAAATTTTATTAATATTATATAAAAATTATCCTTATAAATAATAATTTTTTAAAAA